TTATAAAATCGCGATTAATATAACGATAATTATACCAAATTCATTCTAGCAGTAATAATCACACAATTAAGTGTCGATTAATTTGTCGGATAGCACTGGTTAGTATTGGTTCTATCGCAGAAACACACTGTTTTGCATATGAACACGGGTTCATGTGTTCATATATAACTCCTATATTTGTTAATGATGCAATGTATTTTATACAATATATTTATTGTCAAAAGTTATATACTGAACTACTAAGTGAGTATTTACTTTAATCTGAAGCTAACAAGAAAGAAAGCATTTTCTAATACAATTATTTAAATATTGTTCTAAATCGCCTAACTAAAAACCATTCTTATAACCTGTTATTTTCTTTTATGATTTTATATAAATCCATATAAAGTCAACAATCCGGTCTTTAAAGGATCTTTGTAAGTCTACTTCATTAATTGTTAATGAAAATAAGATAGTATGTAATAATTTTGCCTATATATCTTATTTCATTATGATTCTACGCCAGTTTCTACTGCCTTGCGGATTCCAGGTTAGTGCCGTTACGTTAGTGTGCTACGTCATTTGTACTTTTGCGTAATATAGCGATTGGAAGGTTTGAAATATTATTATACCCACAAATGTTATACAAACTTTTGTTATGTCTATGCAAACTTATATTACTTAGTGTTGTTAACTAGCACTTTTATGTGTTTTTTGCATTTTTAAATAGCATTTTAAATTCTTATTTTTACTTTTTTGTGCTGTTCGCTAGCACATTTGCTAACTTCAATGTATATATTTGATGTAAATTGATAACTGGGCCCTTGTGTGAGTGGAGTTTAAACAGTGTGACATTTTCGAAGTAGCACTTAATTGCTTCCATCTGCGACGTTATTGTTTTACAACATTATTGTTTTTATATGTTTGCTTTATCATTAGTATTCATTAGCATCAGGGTAATATTTTTTTTATAAAATCACGAAGTCAAAAATCTTCAGTCGTGGTTAATTGGATCATAAAAACATAGTCCGGTAGCAGAGCTTTTACTTTTAGTTAAATTTTGCATCCATAAACCGTCCAAAGGATACCCAACTCGTATTTCGTTTAGCATACTGATGCGCCAAAAATTATTAATCTACTTATAACCTTTTTGATTGTTAGCAAAAAATCTTTTGAAATGGTTTATTGGACCATAACGATCTAGTCCAGTGATGGCAGCGTTGGCCGTTGTTATCAATTCAAGTTTTCATAGATTAAGTATCTCGTATTTGCTTTAGATTATGAATGATGTATTATCCTGTTATAAACTTGGTCCTCATTGTTCTCTGTAATGTAAAGGACTAGGAACCATTAGAAGGAAAAATTTGTCAATTGAGAGTATTTGGGACTTATAAATGCAAAGAAAATATTCGGAACTTTTAAATATTTTTTGTTTTTTATCAAACATGAGTCATGCCATGAGTTTACAGTAAACTTGTGATGAAGTTTAGTTTGTAGAAACTTTTTAGAACTTCAAAAAGTGAAAATTTGAACAACAAACCGCAGCCTTGAACTACTGAAAATTGCTGTAAATTAATAAAAAATTTACCAGCATAATAACAGCTTTCAGCTTTTGAATTAATCAAGAAATACTTTTTTGTTTAAATTAATTTTTTTTTTGTGCTTAAAAATTGTTGGCTAAACTACCAAAAGCAAAAATGAAGGGAGTTTGATACCAAAAATTCGATATCAGCGCGAATTTGCGACAATCGTCCGGGCAATCATCCGGAGGGCGCATGTGACCACTATGAAGTCTGCGAAAATAATTAGAAATAAATTGAATAATTGTCATTGTCGCTTAATGGGAAATTGAAAAAGTGGTGAAATTGCAGTTGAGACTCATTACTCGCCAATTAAAGCGTGTGGCGGAAGGCGGGAGGGTACAGAAAGGGTGAATGTGTCATTAATAGCCACATAACTCCAATTATTTGAATAATTCTAGAACAGTTGAAGCGGTCGTAACGGTCCAAGTGTCAAAACAAGCCGCGCGTTTGAACGTTTTTATGCTTGAGTTTTCTTGATTGTTAATAATTAACTTTTTTACGTTTAATTTTAATTTTGCAAATTAATGTTTTAAATTCTATAAAGCAAAAAAAAAAAAAATATGTGAATTTATTGCGTTTGTTCCAATCGAAGTTTTGCCTAATCGAAATTAGTCACTTCCTCTGCGTGTTAAAAATTGGCCAAAAAAGGTTCAGTTTAAGGCGTTAATTGCACCGCAAATTAAATGAAATATGAAATGAAAATGGTTAAAAAATATCAGAAACAAATTATTTAATTATAGCATTAAATAATATATATAAAAAATATTATAAATTAAATTTGAAGCGAAGGTCAAGTGAAAGCTGCACTTGAAAATCCAAAAGAACAGACACTAAATTTTTTGTTGCAATTGCAAATTTGCTTTTAAGTTTCCATTTTTATTGTTTATATTTTTTTAACAAGAAATAAAGTTTTTTTTATCGTTTTTTGATGAAGGTGAAGGGAATTATTAATTTTATTTGCGACTACAGAATGAAACTAGTTAGTTTTGTTTCGTGCTAATAAATTATTTTGTATCTACAGCTTTTGATAACAATATCTTCTTAACCCAAAAACATGAGAATCGATATGATATCGTAGTTTCAGCGGTTAACTTTAAATGTGTACCAGCTCAAAGCGACCTTTCTTCTGATAATTGCAAATCCGAAAAGAGGAATATTTGGTCACAGCATCATTTTCAGCAGATGTGCCAAAGGATCTAGAAAGGATTTAATTGGTATTTTTCTCTCTTTCCTCACTGCAATGACAAGACACCCAAAAAGTAACAGGCATGCCAGTCGGTTAGGGTATCCTTTCTATGCCAATTGTCGTAGCTGTGAATCAGAGAATGAGGAGAAAAATATAAATGATGGATATATTGTCCGTTTTAGTAAAGTGACACACTAGATTTTTGTTTAAAAATAGGAATTTTAATAAGTAATATAAAATAACAATAAGTAATATAAAAAGTATCCGCGGTTTTTTGTTATTGGATAAAGTTGGTACCCATACTGTCGCTTGTTTAAAAAGTTATATTAAAAATGAATAAAATATCTGAAAAAATACTATATGCTTTATAACTATAAAAAAGGTAAAACTCCCGTTGTGAGTTAATAGTGAACCCAATAGTGGTTTTTTCGATTCCGTTCTGCAAATTTTGATGTCACAACTGCAACTCGCTCTGGTAACTGGCAGAGCAAGATTGATACATAAAAGAAGCAAACGAAGGTACTGAGCATTAATCACATGACAGTTTGAAATCATTTAAAAAGAGCAGGCTACGCAAAGACGCTCGATGCTTGGGTACAACATTAATTAAAATAAGGAAAATTGATTCATTATGGGCGATGAAAAATGGATTAAATAGGAGTTTATTCAACACAAGACATCATTGCCAAACGGCGGTGTTCCTTCACAAATGATTTTAAATCCTGGAATAGTGGCAAACAAGCTTATGTTGAGTGTTTGTGAGGACTGGTGAAACGGTTCATTCAATTCTCTATTACTCACTGAATATCCCAGACAATGCACGATTTGACTACCATTTGCTTCGATCTATATATAATTGGTTCAATGGTAAAAAATTTGTGGATCGAGGAGCAGTTAAAAACTAATTGGCCAATATATTCGCCGATAACCACAGAAGTTCTACACGGAAGGCAAGAATTCATAAATGATATTTTTTATCGTTAAAAAAATGTATGAAAAAACCTTGCAAAGGTTTTATTTCTTTAATTTTTTTATTTTTTTTAAGAATTTTCAAATTACTGAAAATATGCATCATAGCTAAACATAAATACTTTTCCATCAAAGCATTTCATCAGATATAGAACAAGAAATATTCACTAAATGGTAAATGTGTGTGATGAATACGGTAATACTCGTTAAACCTAGTGATATAGCAGTTGGGACCCCAGTCCTCCGTACGTGCGCAGTAGTAAGTTTTTCCATTTGAATGATCTTAAAACTGCATAAAATGACAATATTATGAGCGTTTTCTTCGGCTTCGATCCACTTATAAAAATGCGGAGTTACGACTGACTGATCCATGTTGCGTTCGAAGTTCTGAAACGTTGTTTAACCTTATAAGGATCGCAAATGAAGATCATTAAATGGTCCTTTAAAATTCCTGCACGATTGTATTTATAGTGATTGCATTGGATAATTAATAGTTGGATGATATGATGTGGAACAAAGATAAACTTAGTCACTATAATACAAATAAAATGAGACGGGATTGTTTTTGAAAGTCCCTAGAAAGTCGTCTTAATTCCTGGGAATTATTATTAAATAATACATTAAGTATTATATTATTAAAAGTGAACATTAGATTGTTTTGTAGTAAAATTAACTATTTCAAAAAATTTTTCTACAATATCTGCAAATACTTGTAAGAATATTAGTCAGACGTGTATCATATCACAAATGATCCACCAATAATTTTGTGTAATTATTCATCTTTTTCGTAGTTCACCAAAAGCTTTCTAGAACTAATTAAACTACGCCTCTAAGTAGAATTCGCCATTGAATATGAAATCATTGCCTTAATTTTATAATTTCTTTGGTCACTAATTGCCTCACATTTATTTCCATATAGTAGATGTCTTACTTCATCAATTTAGTAATAGAAACACTAATTATTGTATTTGTAACAAGACAAGACTTAATTGAAACGTTTTAGCTATAAATAATTGAATTAATTTATCTTAACGTGTCTATCTGTTATTAATGCGGAATTAAAAACTAGGTAAATAATCTTACTCATTTATTAAATGTTGGCTTAAAGCAATAAAAGTGGAATGCAAACTGAACACGCAAATCTGTTTGTCACACCGATGGAAATCCTCTCCACTGATTTCTTATAATTAATTTCATCATATGTATTTGTAGTATTTTTATGGACATTACGTAGCTTGTATTAAGTCATTTCGTTCATTTCGTTTATTTATGTTCTATTGCAGTCTTTTCGAACAAGAAATTATGAGCTATGTTCCTATTGAAGAGCCACAGGGTTCGCCGGTACTAAATTCAAGACTACCGCAGCGTGCACCACCTCCATTCAGGCGTGATTTTGAAGCCAAACTACGTGGTTTCTATCGCAAATTAGAATCCAAAGGTTATGGTCAGGGTCCACATAAGTTAAAGTAAGTTTGAAATATGAAAGTTATAATGAAGTGCATTCCATTTAGTAGTGTTTTTATTTGCAGGCTTCACATAAGACGCACTCATCTTCTAGAAGATGCATTTCGTCGTATTATGTCGGCTAACAAAAAGGATTTGCAACGTGGTCGTTTAGCTGTACTTTGGGATACCGAAGAGGGCTTGGATTATGGTGGACCATCGCGGTAAGCTTCATTTGACAATTTGAAGTCGTATTTAATCTAATATATTTTTTGATATTACAGAGAATTTTTCTTCTTACTCTCGCGTGAGCTATTTAACCCATATTACGGTCTGTTCGAGTATTCAGCAAATGACACCTACACTGTGCAAGTGTCACCACTTTCAGCTTTCGTTGACAACTGCCATGATTGGTTTCGGTTCAGTGGACGCGTTCTGGGTTTGGCATTAGTGCATCAGTATTTATTGGATGCGTTTTTTACGCGCCCGTTTTACAAAGCCCTGCTGCGCCTACCAGTTGCGCTTAGTGATTTAGAATCGCTTGATAATGAATTTCATCAATCATTGCAATGGATACGAGACAATGATATTGGCACTGGTATAGATTTGGGTCTTACGTTTTGCGTAACTGAAGAGTTATTGGGACGTGTGGTCGAGCGTGAACTGAAACCAGGTGGCAAGAATACAATTGTAAATGAAAAGAACAAAAAAGAATATTTAGAGCGGATGATTAAATGGCGCTTGGAGCGCGGCGTGCAGGAGCAGACGGAATCGTTGGTGCGTGGCTTCTATGAAGTCGTTGATTCGCGTTTAGTTTCTGTATTTGATGCACGTGAACTTGAATTAGTTATTGCGGGTACTGCCGAAATCGATATAAATGACTGGCGTTTAAATACTGAATATCGTTCAGGTTATCACGATAATCACCAGGTCATTATATGGTTCTGGCAAGTAATTGAAAAATTCACAAATGAGCAGCGTTTACGTTTATTGCAATTTGTAACTGGTACCTCAAGTATACCGTATGAAGGTTTCTCAGCACTACGTGGCTCGACTGGACCACGACGTTTTTGTATCGAAAAATGGGGCAAACCAAACTCGTTACCTCGGGCGCATACATGCTTCAATCGTTTAGACTTGCCACCCTATCCTACGCCGGAATTGCTATACGAGAAACTTCTTTTAGCTGTCGAAGAGACAAACACATTTGGTATTGAATAGATGATTTTATGTTTGTCTCTATTAGGGTTACGATTATGCATAAGCTTAGTATCAATAGTGATATTTTAATTATGAAATTATGGAATTATTTGTTATTTATTTTTATTTATAAAATGCTATTTTAACCGACTTGCACACAATTTTAGTCAGTAAGTAAAGTAATATTGAGAATACGCTGGACTTATGTTCTGATCTAGAACAAACTTTGCAAGAATTTTTACATTTACAGTTATTATTTATCTTTAACGCACTAAAAAACAATGATAAAAACCTGTTAAAATAAGTGGGTCACATTATTTAATAAACCAAAAATATTTAAAGAACTCTTAGCTTTTAGGTTGATATCATTGTATGCATTTGCACTTGTCTATTTAAATTTTGTTAAATTTAAAACAAAAGGGGAAAAAAAGATAGATATATTTTCTTCCATTATTCATTAGTTTCGTAATACAGATACTTGCGTATAATATTTACAAGCTCTATCTTATTTAGCTATGGTTCCTTAATTTTATTTTACATATTTAAAAGTAAACTTTACTATAACAACCTTATAACTTAACTATATAGATATAAACATAGCCATAAAGAATTAAATTTTACTAGGACAAAGAAGAAATGCTTTCTTTTCAAGCATTTTGATTTTACAAAGACTTCTATCTATTTTTAAATTAAACAATAGAATTTTTTCTTCGATATATTAAAACCAATTTTTTTTTAAATTTGTTTATCATAATTAAAATAATATTAAGATTTTAGTTATTTCTAAGTTCATGACTAAAAGAGGAGAGTTGGCGTTTCATAGTCCATTATCTCAAATCCGTCAACCATCTGAGTCTTTTTGACTGCCAATGAAGACTATTTAAAATTCCATTATTTCTGTAAAAGTTGAAAGTTTTTCCCACTGCCCCCTACTTTCAATCGGGAGTATCAATCTCAGCTGTTATTATGTAGGATATGCCTTTCTTGAAGCAATAACTTTTATTGTGCACATTTGATCTTTAAATTAAATTAAATTGCTCTTTATTAAAGCTCTAAAAATTTAGTGTAATTATTTAATATATATGTGTAGTATAAAAAAATAATTTTGAATAAATTTATCAATTATTTTAAAACTGAAAGTGGATAAGAGTGCATTCCGAAAGTATTCCAAATTTATATTAAGGATTTTAAAATAGTAATTTAGGCTATGTAATGCATAAGTTTTAAGCTTAAAGCTGTATTTATATTCCCTTGGTGTTTACTACTATTATATAAATAATTATAAAAAAAAAGATAAAGAATTTGTGATCAGTAGCATACGTAACTTATTTGAGCGGACAAGAGAGTAAAACGAATATAGATTTTTATTTTTAACCTTTAAAATATGTGTGTAGTTAAAACTCAATTTTTACAATAACATTTTTTATGAATTAAAACTTAGTTGTAAATTAAATTATTTATTCAGTAGAGCATAAGATGTGCTTATTTTAATTATTATTATTATTTATATTTATTTATTTATTTATATTATATTGTATATTTACAAATGATTTATTTATTTATTGTATAGATTAAGAATGTGCTTGTACGCAATATAATAATAATTATTACTTTGTTTTGTTTACAAGTGTATATGATATTTATTGACTTAAATAATTTTTATTACAACGATAAAAATTATTTATTTTGCTTAATATATAATCGATATTAAATTTAAACGAATAAAAATAAATCGTGTTGATATTGCAAAATTTGTTGTAGTTTATTATTTCATTGTGATTTTAAAAACCATCTATTAAATGATTGAATGTTCATTTAATCCAAGTTTAGTAGAGAATTGTAATTTATTTTTGGTTTTCTGTCACCTTCATCCTTCATCCTTCATCTTTCTAAAGAATTGTTCAGATATTTTGAATCTTAGCATCCACTCATATTAACTTATCCAAATAAATTCATATTAAATCCAAATGATTCGAATCGAAATGATTTGAAGTTGAATTGACATTTTACGCTTATTAATCTATTTAAAAGATGACTTCCAAACTGTTTTTAGTTGTTGTTTATTTTTGGCTGAGAGCGACTTCTTAAGCACATCGTTTGGCACCAGTGTTGTTGTTAGTTTTTCTTGTTGTGTCTGTTTAGTCTCTGGCGTCTTCACATCTGAAGTCGCTGGAGCGCATAGCCACAATAAATGATGCATCCTGTAGATGATAGGATTCAAGGGTACGCTGCTCTTGTAATATAATTCCTGCGTAGACTAAACGTTGATTTTCAGTTTCAAAACCTTCACCGCACTCTGCAAAAATTTTTTGTTTCAATTGTAAAATTTTGTTTTCTGCTAAAATATCAATTGATATTTCATCAGATTTTCCAACTGGCTGTACAGATAATTTCATACTAAAATCTGTTTTTACCAAAGTAAAAAAATAAGCATGAAACTATTTCATTTTCCTTCCATGATTTACTTAAAATTTTTGGCAATCGATTGACTTATAAAATATTATCAAAGCATACTATAGTATAGATTCATTCACAACATAAGAATATTTGATATATTTTAATTTAGCTTTAATAGTTAAAAAATAACCCGCAGAAAATTAGAAAGGGACTGGATCAGCCTTATATTCTACAAACCGGAGCCTATTTATGAAATAAATTTCTCTATAATTAAGTCTCTGATCGAGAAAGCTATGAAGAAAACAAAAATAAAGAAACGACCTGGGTGACCTGACCATAGATTGATGTGTCTAAAGAAACAAATTATCGGCTCAGCTTGCAAGCAGATAAGACATCTGGTCATTCTTGTCGCTGTCCGAATTTGATTTGGGATACGAGGACAATACTAGGCCGGGAGTGCCTAACCCTGTTTCTTTTTGAAAAATTCTTATCGGGAGACATTTTGGTAACTTTTTGAAGTGTTAGATGTTTTCTGTTCGATTAAGCACGCTTTGTCGCACAACATATTCACCATACTCGCAGCGCTTCGCTCGTCGGGAGCCTACTATTCCATTAATTTACAATAGTTTAAATGTATAATATGTGTTTAAATAACGATTCAATGCTACTCATCAACAGTTACGACCAAGTACCGCTCAACACTCTCGTTGCAGGTTATTAGTTCACCAGTAAAGCTTACATTAGACTTTAAAGAGCTTCAATAATAATAAAAGTCGGCTCTATAAATTTGAAAATACTACTGCGTCTTATCATATATTTCAAAATCATGTTACAAACCGATCGATGTATTTTTGTTCTATTATAGTCCATTTTCAATTGTTCAAAAATTCTGCATTTCAAAATTCTCAGTCATTCCTTGTATATGTGTAAGGAGTGGATATATGTAAGGAGTGGATTTATTTGTTTTTTATTTATTACTGTTATGTATAGTTATGACTCATAATTTGTGAATGCTGTATCCATTGCAATAGTTAACTTTAATGAAAAATAGATCTGCAAGATTTTAAAGTGAATGGATATCTGTTCTCAAACATTTAGAGTTGGACTGTCAGCTCGTATTGCTCTTGAAGGCAGTGTCTACAAATTGCATGATTGTCTTAATGTCATGTCCGCTACTTATGTAATTAACAGCTCTTACAGAGCATTGATAATAAAAACTCTAAAAATTACTGATTAATATAATTTATTTATTAAATTAACATAACTAATAAGCTCACTAAAATTATTTATAAATTTTTAATTTAAATTCATTATCATTAAATTAATTATTAAATTTTACAAACATTATATTGTATTAATTTATATAAAAGATATTTATGATTGATGAACATTTAAAATATATAAATGAAATAGCAATGAGAAAAAATTATGACAATCTTATATTAAAAATAAACGAATGATGGGTTAGTAGTCGGTGGTGGTATTAAGTTAGGGAATAAAGTTATAAAAATTTTAAATTGGCTTGTGTAAACTGAACTAAGCTTTTAACTTTAATTGAAAACATAGAAATTTCTATATTTTTGCTTTCATATTCAGAAAAGTCTTATAAAGATAGAATTGTTATAGTTTAATGGTTATTATAACACTAAATTTTCATAACTTTCAGATATGATTGAAAAAGGAATTATTTAGATATTTTTATATGTGTAAGAACATACTCGCCGCCTTCTATTAGTAATTAATTTTATTAAAATATTTTTATTATGCAAAAAATATTAATAAAACTTAAAAAAACTGTACACATATATAAACAAAAAAATTAATTTAGGAAAAAAACATAGACAAGTATTAGCACCTATTATATGTAGTACATTCTATACGAAAAGAATTTGTGTATCCATACATATAACGTATTAAATGAAATACATTTTAAAAATTGGCAAGTCAAGAAACTTTTTTGGATATATATATATTTAACCTTCAAAATATGATATATATCATATATTTATATATGTATGATTATGTCCTTACTTTTAATAACTTTCAATTAAATTTCTTTACTTCAACAACACACAAAAACAATTTTTTTTTTATTTTCAAACACATTATCATTT